TTATCTGAAATTCACCCACCCCGCCCCTGTACCTTCAAACAACTTTTAGCACCCATGTCTTCCTCTTACATCTTGTCATTCAATAGAACTGTTCTACTATTACAATATTTATCTCTCTGTAGTCTCTCAACTGCTTTTCTAACTTGCTGTAATTCATTCACTCTGACAATCCATCTTCCTTGATCATGTCATTATTTTTAGTCTCTTGATCTCTCCATGTCTATCATCTCATCAGCTCACTCCATTCCTTTCTCTCTTCCTGTCTTGCCTAGACTTCATTCTGTTTTTTAGTTAAGATTTCATTCTTACTTTACTTCCTTGATCCTTCTACTGTAGTACCCTGAGAACCCCAGTAGTCCTTTGTCAGTTCAGCTGCCTGCCTTCTTTATTTTGCTACCCATCAAATTACTACCTTACAGTCAGTAGAAAATTTCCATTCCTAATTCCTAAGAAAAAGATAGCACAGGTCCTCGTGGTCTCGCTTGATAGCCAGAAGCCTGTATTTATGATAAGGAGCATTATGAACATTTTGCTCTCAGGAAAAGGAGTCTGTCCTAGTCCCCAAAGCATAGTTAAAATATGGGCTCATAAGCACCACCCACCATCCATCCCCTGTTGTTATCCATTCTTTCTCTGGTTTTTAGTCCCTCTTTTGGGTTAAGAACATGCCCAAGTATCATCCAGGAATATGCAAAATTCCTTCTATCATGCTCCCTGGATGTGGCCTTACCACCTTCCCTTCACAGCAAACAACCTTGGACACATACTTTTTCCTGCATACCATCTATTCCTTAATTCTGACCACCACTTAAAAGTGAAGAACACTTCTAGCCCCACTGTTCTCAAAAGCACTCATGTGAAAGTCAAGAATATTTACTTTATATTATGTTTTACTTTATCAGGTATTTCTTCCTTGAGACTCTCTTGTCTGTTACTATTTCTTGCCTTCAAGCTAATTCTCTTGAGCTCTTCTTTACAAAGTTTTTTCTGCTTTTAAACAATGTTCCATCAGAACCTGTTCTCAGGGGCCGGGGAGATGGCTCAGTAGAATAAGTGCTTCCCTGGCAAGCTCAAGGGCCTGTGTTCAATCACTGGTTCCGCAAAAAAAAAAAAAAAGAACCTGTTCCCACTGCTTTAGACATCCTTTCTGAAATACCATGTTCTCCCAAATCTGCACTAGTTTTGTGCCCATTCTTTCTCAGTACTTGAGAGAGGGGGGCATCTTCTTCCTGTGACACTCTTGAAACTTTCTTCGCATCACATACTTTGTGTATTCACTTAAGGGATATCTTACTCCCTAAGCTGTATACTTGTGAGTTCTCTGAGATATATTTTCTGATTTCAAGAGATTCATACCTAGCTGTATATTTCTATTTAGTTCTTCCTACAGCTAGCAATATCTTCTTTCCTCCTAGGTTTTGCATTTTTATTTCTTTTCACCATTATCTATAAAAGAACAATAATTTCATTATTACTTAAACATAAGCAACCTAGTAAGTAATAAACTGGAATCATTGTTAAATTAATAGCTTTATAAAAAAGGAGATACTGCTGAGTATGGTGCTGCATGCCTGTACTTCCAGCACTTGGGAGGCTGAGGCAAGAAGACTGCTGTGAGTTCCAGCCCAGCTTGGGCAACATAGTGAGTTCAAGGCCAACCTACACTACAGTTTGAGACCTGTCTCAACCTCCCACATCTTCTCCGCTAAAAAAAGAATGAAAACAAAAGGCAATAACTTCGCAAATTCATCATTCAAATGTTATCATTTATGGCAGGTCAGTTCCAAAACAATGAAATGAAGTTTTATGTCAATGAAACCAAGAGCTTTTATAGTTCATACTGCATACATCTGATATTACCTCTCATTTTCCTTAGGTTCTACGCATTCTGGATCCAGTTACCTGTACAGAAAGTTCAGCTGACAGTCCATTTGCTGAATCTTCAACAACCACATTACTTGCTGTGAAGAAAAATATTGGACGATTCCATCCCTATACTAGATATGAGAATATAACTTTCAATTGCTGTAACCACTGCCAGGGAGAACTTATTGCCCTTTAACATTCAATATGTTGGAGATATATTTATTACTGAAGTCATTATTCTTTGGGAGCTGGGGTTCTTAGGATGCTAGAAGTAATATCATGTCCTCTTTACATAATGTGTATCCACAGAGCTATTTCATATATTGGATTCCACATTACTCTGTCTTAATAAATATCTCAGGTAAGAAAAAAATGAAACTGTGTTCTCTATTTAGGGCAGAGAATACTTTCCAGGCATTACACAGTATTTATGCTAAAAGACCTTAAAACATTTTTATAACTTACTTTTAGGCAGGCCCTAAATTGCTATTTATCTTGTTAGATATTTTATATGGAGTAGTTTCATTTTGCTACACTAAAGGCAAAAACAGGCATGAGTCAAATGTGTGCACACTTCCACTACTGTCCAGTATGTTTTCTGCATTGTAATAGCAAAGTGGACCAAATATACCAGAGCTTTTTTGGCCTACAAAGCCTTGAGAAAGTTTTCTGACCTCCTACTCTCCCACTCAAGTTGAGTAGCTGAGAAGGTAAGCAATAGATTGTGTTCCCTTTATGGCAGTTTGGGGGACTACAAAACAGGCTTACAAAAATACTAAGGGTGAAGGGGCTAATCTTATAAAATTAAATGCTATAAATATTTTAGAGCTAAGTTAGTGAGTAGTTCAATAAAACATGTTCTCAAATTGCTTCTTTAGAAGGGAGTCTGTTTTGTATGGGTGTAAACTAACATATGAAAGAAACAGATTCTAAATTATTCATTATGGCACACTACTCAAAACAAGAGTATTCAGTTTAATATTTACAGTATATAGTAGGGAAGGTAGAATCAGGAATATTGTATAAACTCAAAATTCCAATCTGTCAATTAATATATATGATGTACTGTTATATGATGAAACATTGTAAAATGCCCTTTTATTAGCCTTGTAAAATATTCACAAAGTATTTATGTTGAATTATACAATTTGAAGTAGCTACCAGAGAAATCTTCAAAAGACAAATCAGGTCAAATACTAATATATTTTAATGTTATCTTAAAGGGTCCTTTTGGTCTGAATCATGTAATAAATTTGTTACTTTCTTTACTGTGAATAGTTCTTTTCCCTCTTCACAATTTTGTGCTTTGGTTCAAGTCTTTTATCAACTTTTAATATTCACAGTTGTTTCTTTACCTTTTCCTTTAGGTTTATGTAGTACAAAAACCTTCACAACCTTGAATCTGGGAATGATTTCTTGGACATGACACCAAAGGCATAGCTAACAAAAAAAAAAAAAAAATATATATATATATATATAAAGTGATTTCATTAAAATGCAAAACCCTTGTGTATCAGAGAATATACTAAAAAGGCAACCCAGAGAATGAGAAAAATACTTGTGAATCACATAACTGAGAAAAGTCTGGGATAAATAAAGGACTCCTATAGCTCAATAACCAAAATCACACAACTCAGTAAATGGCCATAGGATTTGAATAGAAACTTCTCTTTTAAAGACATACCATAAAACAAGACACACAGCCAGTAAGCACATCAGAAGAGTCTAACTGTCAACTCAAGGAAGTACTGTGCTCAGAGGCTCCTGTCTGTAGTCCCAGCTACTCAGAAGACTAAGGCAGGAAGAGCACACAGTCAAGGCTGTCCTGGACAACTCACCCAATCTATAAAAAAAGAAAAAATCATGTTAATACCACTTCATACATATTAGGACAACTGAACAAAGAAAATAACAAAATGTTAGCCAGGATGGAAAGAAACCCAAAATCTTTGTTTTGCCAGTGGAACTGTAACAGTATAGCAGCTGTGAAAGAGTACAGAAGTTTCTCAAAAAATGGAACAACATTACCATATGGCTTAGCAATTGATCTTACAGGTAGGTACCTGTAAGAATTAAAAACAGAGTAGATCTTTATACTCCAGTGTTTATAATCATAATAATGTTCATTATTTAAACAAAATGTCTAATAAATGGATAAACAATTTAGTATGCAAATGCAAAAGAATCTTTTAATAAAACGATGCATATAGATAATAAATGAAATACATTTCACAAAAGAACAAATATAATTACAGGAGTTTCCTAGGAAAAGATCATAGAGCCAAAAGAACCGGTATGCATAATTTCCAGAATGATGCAGATTACCAAAATGGATTCTCTCTCTCTCTCTCTCTCTCACACACACACACATACACACACACACACACACACACACAAAACTAAAAAAGATGCAGAAAGATATTAAATCAGTACGGAAAAGCTTCCTAACCTCAAGAGTGATTCCCAATGTGAACTATGGATGTGGAGTTACGGTGACGTGTTGGTATAGGTTCATCAATTCTAATATACTGCTTTGCTACAGGACATTAATAATGGAGGAAGCTGAGGGCGCAGGAAGTAGTATATGAGAGTTCTGTTCAATTTTGCTGTAAACTTAAACTGCTTTAAAAAATTAAGCCTACTAAAAACAACTCTCAACGAAGAAAAATAGAAGAGCAGATAGTTTCACTGGTCAGTTCTACTCATAGCTACAAACTCTTGGAAAACATTTAAAGAGCAATTAATACCAGTTTCTTCTAAAAAAAAAAATAAAAAAAAGGGAATCAGGAACAGTATTTCCTAATTTATTCTAAAGACCAGTGTTACTCTTAAGACTATAGCCAGAAAATAACTACAAGAAAAGAATCCTACAGACGAGTGTCTCTTACAAATGAAAACAATCCCACAAAATACTAGGTAACATTAAGGGATTTACACAATGAGCAAGTAGGATGTACTTCAAGAATCCAAAGGTAAAGTGGGTCAAAACACAAAATTCAAGGTAATATAGTAATACCTTGGTTCACGAATTATTCTGTTTGCAAATAATTTTATTCACAAAAACTCAAAAATTTGCCTCCATTTACAAAATACACATCAGGTGATAAACATGACCACAGCCCTCTTCACTACACAAACACAATTGTAGCCATCCTCCCCAAAAATCATAAATAAACTTTGTAAGCCAAAGTACAATTATATTATTCAATTTTAAGAACAAAGAACATGATCATCTGACTTGTCACAGAGTATGACAAAATCCATCAGCCTTTTTAGATTTAAAAAATTCATAAAAATAGAATGTCCTTAACCTTATAAAAAGCACTAAGGAAAAAAAACTAACATCCTACTCAAATATCAAAGAATAAACCTTTCCTGTGAAGGTCAGAATGGGATCAAGGATGCCTAGTTTTACCACACTATTCAATGTTACAGTGAAAGTTTCGGCCAGAATAATTACAAGGAAAGAAGAAATTCAGTTTGAAAAACAAGAGGTAAAACTATGAAGATGACACAACCTTATATATGACAAATTACAAAAAAGCAAAAACAATCTAGCAATAAGTGTGGCAAGTTGCAGGTAATGAATGCACAAAAATTAGTATTCCTTCAACTAGGATCTCAGTAAAAAGCTTTACACAGAAATTTCAATGCAGAGATTTCTCAGAAACTACCAATGGAGAGAAGGGACAACCCACAGTGTGGGAAAATATTTTTGCCAGCTGTTTATCAGAAAAATGATATCTAGAATATGTGAAGGACTAAAAAAAAATACATCAGCCACCCTCTCCAATTTAATGGCCCAATCCAAAAATGAAACAGCAAGTTAAATAAGTGAAAAAATGTTCAACATCCATGGTTATTCAAGGTATACAAATTACAACAACACAGATTCCATCTTGTTCCAGAAACTGACTAATATCAAATGTTTTGGGGGCTGTAGGAAAAAAGAATCTTTCTCTACTGCTGGTTAATTGGTGCAACCATAGTGGAAATCAATGCAGAGATTTCTCAGAAAACTAAAATCAGAGATTTAACTGAGTTATTCCCCTTCTTGGTATCTTCCCACAAGAATTTTAAAAACTGACCAACTGTGGTAACTATTGATTTTGTGCTTCTAACCATAACAAAAAGTCTATAGTCATGTAACAGAACCAACATAAATTAAGAGTTTGTAAGTGAAGTGTTTCCTCCTCTTAGAGAGGATTTACCCTGGTTTTCTCCAGACAAGAGGGTTACCGTGTCCAGGGCACTTCCCACACTGGCTTCCCAGCCCGCAGGGTAGGAATACCCAAGCACCAGGATGCCTCCAGACCTACATTCCCTGGATGGCAGCCGGATAGAGGTGGGATTTTCCCCCTCTCCCAGCTCACCCAGGTTCAGGAGGCTCACTGTGGCTCCAGCAGTGGTGGAGTTAGTATGGGCAGAGTTTCTCCCCTCCAGAGCAGCTCACAGAAGTTCCTGGGGTTCACCCAGCATGGCTCCCCCCAAAAGAACTGAAAGGGTCATATCGCAGTAATGTATCCAAATCCATGTAATATAGCAGCAGTGTATAATAGCTAAACCTTGGAAAGAGCCTAAATGCTATTCATCAACCAGGAAAGGATAAAGAAGTTTGTTTATATGATGGCAGTACTACTCTGCCACCTAGGATAAGCCTGAGACATTCCTAGGTAAACAGATGCACCTTGAGACCATACTCCTAAGTGAAACAAATCAGATACACATGTTTAAATATCATATTGTTTCTCTGATGTGAGAAGCTGAACAGGTAACTAAGAACCAAAATGTGTCGTAGATATAGTGAAATGGGAAGAAAATGTTCAAAGATGAAGAATTAGGAAGGTTAGGAGGGTCAAGAGAAGGGAAAAAAGTAGAAGGAACAAATGGCAACAAAGCTTTTGTAAATGAGTAGAAGAGGGGTCAAAGGGAAAGGAGGAGAATGGGGAAAAAAGAATCAAGATATATCATGTGTAGGTATAAATTTTCTATGATGAATGTGATCATTACATATATCTAAAATGTGATATTGTTAAATAAACTTAATTTTTAAAATGATCAATATTTCTATGTTACCAAAACATATTCTGTTTATATTCTATGTACAATAGTATTCCAAAGAAGAAAATACCCATTGTTATGGTTTGTGTCTAGTTAACCCCCAAAGCCTCATGCAGTCATTGGAGCAGCTTCTATAGTTCATGATTAATTCATGATCCAAATGCTAGGATTATGGGTATGTGTGCTGCTGGGATTGTGGATGTGAGTGCTATACCCGTGGATAGCCTGAAATGCAATATAAGGAAGGGAGAGAGGCTTCCTGTTGCTGCAGCTGCTACTACTCCCTCTTTTCTTTGCTGTTTTCTGCCGCCATGAGCTGCTGCCCTCTTCCATGTGCCACTCTGCCTGGGAGCCAGTTTGTGAGGACTGAAACCTCACAAACTGTGAACTTTTCCCTCCTTAATTCTAGATGTCAGGTATTTTTGTCCCTGAGAGAACAAAAGTAACCAAGAGAAAAAAGTAACCAAGAAACCCATGGAAAAGTTCAAACAAAAAAGTCAAAGACTTACGTTGAAATGATGGCAGTACTAAAAGCACTTTTGTGTTCATGCCCTGCGAAGCATTATTAATATGTCAGTACTCAAACAATCAAAGCAGTCTACGGATTCACTACAAAGCTCTACTAAAATTCCTTTCTTGCAAAAATGGAGATCATAAAGGTCCTGAATAAGTAAAATAATGGTTAAGAAGGAAGGTGGAGTATTCAGAATTTTCCATTTTAAAACTATACTGATCTAAGCAGTATGCTACTGGAAAAAGAGGAGTCATGCAGGTAAATGGCATAGAATTGGTTATGGCCAGTTAGTTTTCTTTTTTCTTTCATTCTTTTTTTAATTTTTTGTACCAGGAATGGAACTCAGGACCTTGCACTTGCCAGGCAGGCGCTTGTGCCACTGAGCTACATCCTGAGCCCCAGGCCAATCAATTTAATTTTCAACAAGGGTGTTGAGTCTTTTTAATAGGGAAAGAATAGTTTCTTCCACAAATGTGGTAGAACAACTGGATATGCATATACAAAAGAGTGAAGGTGAGCACCTGTGTAATGCTGTGATGAAGTAAGAAATAACACAGATATAGATATAAAGACATAGATATAGATATATTGAGTTGTTCCAGTTTCCTGGCTGGCATGCAGCTTGTCAAACCATTCTAATCTCCCAGGTGATGTCTGTCATTTTGTTTGCTAATGAGATGACTTTTACTTGGG